GACAACACGATCTTGTCAAAAGCTACAAATAACATTCAAAACATTACAAAAACAAACCATTCATCATTATGTATGGTCTATTCAGTAGACTTCACAACAGAGGCACTATGAGGAGATAAAATGTTCCACGTGACTTGCATGTCACCACACTCCAAGAGACACCCAGATAAGAGCTCACACATCAGTGCTGGGAGATCAAAGACTTACAACATGAGTTAGGATGACACCCCGAAGGAGCAAGATAAAACACACAAAATGCCACCATGCAGAATATAGTTATGATCCAAAGGAACTGTTGACTTAAATAGGTGATCCTCTAACACCTCCCTCTGACACACATCTTTGCCGGACAAGATTCTTGTTTTTGGCTGAATAGAATCAAGCTTCAGGCACGCAAACATCTAACTGGCCGTCCATCATCAGCATCGTGCTGGACTGGGTGAGATGGTTTCTGCCCCAGGAGCCCGAGCTGTTGCTGTGGACTGGGCTGTTACCAAAGGGACACGCGGCTGCTAAGGAGATGCACACACAAACACTGAAACACGTCAAGACTCTCTCTAGGGAACATATGCTCCAAAAAGTGCCACGGATGCTACTGGATCCTCCTGGGAAGTTGCTATACTTGCAAGCTGGGAACTTATGATTGCGACAATTTTTATATTTTACTGGAGGATTTTACCCACTGATACAATAGAATGAAGAGCACATTAGTTGTGTAATTGATGCTTTATTCGTAAATTATTACTTGACATACAATAAAGTAAAATAAAAATACGGTAACACTTTACTTAAAGCCTTTAAATATTATAAAAGTATATATATATATATAAAACAATTATAAAATATTACTGGACAATAATAAAATATTATTTCAAACTAAAATTTCATATACTGTACAAAAATTTCATACAACAAGGCTTTTTTTTCATTATCAGGATTTTTTATTTTACTTTGTCTCCAAACAAAATATTGATGAATTGAAATTGAAATTAAGAACAGAGGTGTGTCCAAATCCTTATGTCTGAATGAATTTTTTTATGTATTTTAAAATAATCAATAGATTTCATTGACCCAATTTCTACGTGGTGGAAAAACATGATCATTCTGACATGATTTGAAGGGCGGAATCTCTTTGATTGAGGACTAAAATTTGGATTTCATAATTGGATGTGATCTGATCTTGATTAAAACTCCATGCAAGCCATTCAAAAAGAGGCTTATTGGTTCTCAACCAATTGTGCTTGAGAAACTGCTTCTTGAAACTTTCCATGATCTTTCCTCACAGTCGCTCCTGTCCTCATTTGTCACCTTTCCGGTTTTGTATCTGCAGTGCTTAAGGCTCCAGCGGTCTCATGTCCCCCAGGGGCCTCACAGAAAACCCTTGACGGCAGCCATACACCTGTCGTCTTATACACAGACACACACTCTCCTTACTTTACCCCAGAACAGTGTGTGTTTGTGTGACAACAGTGCCCTCTACAGAAATGCACATACACACACACACTTACTTTTGGACCAGGTGAACAGGAAGTATCCAGGGCTTTTAGATGACATACAATCCTTGAAAACCATGATGATTGAAATGATTTATATAGGGGAGGTTGCCAGACACTTTTTACTCCAGTGAATATTTATCAAGGTAGACACATACCAGGGTTAAGTAAAAATCATTTTTACCATTAGGCCTATTGTCCAAAAAAAAATTGGTGACAAGAACTGCTTGTTTTTAAACAATGTATTATTAAATATTTATAATGTTAAATAATGTTCTTGGAATAATTCATGACGGCCGTTGTATTATGAGAAAATAATGCACACCTGCCACTGCGCTTACCACCTCGATGGTGCATTATTTTCTAATAGCCAATTATTCCGCTTTTACGGTTACCACACCTCAAGACATTGTTCAGATGTTGTATTTCAAGACATTTGTCAGGTTTTTGTCCTTAAAACGCTCTTGTGTGTAGGACTAATTTCTTACGCACCTCATATCACGCCTTTGTTGCTAATTCCAAAACGTAATTTTCCATCAAACATCATTCTTATTTTAAATTGAAAATGTTTCATCTGTGCACATTCTTACTTTTTTAAATGCATATGTACGGTGGCCCAGTAGTGCACAACACATCGAAATTTAAAAAGCAAAGATAAGTTCACAACACAACGTAAATGCTCCCGACCACTAGGGGGCTCTCGGAGCGCGGTAGGCTTGCTGCGATTAGTCACTTGCCCACCATCTTTTTCATTTTTTATAGTAATAAAAATAGATTAGTTCGGTCAAAGAACAGACAATTAAAAACTGAACGTCTTCTTAATTCAGCGTGAGCCGAATGAGAGTCGCAGCACCATCAGCAGGAGTCAGATTTCACCTCACTTCCCCATTTCACCTCAGATTTGGTTTCAATGCAAAATGTAAAAGTGCATATTTAAGCGAGTTTGTCATTGAACTGCTTTGTTGTGTTTTTCATTAAGAATAATAATGAACCCACCATGCAAGCAACTGCTGCTCCCGAATTGGTGCCAATTCAAAAAGTCAAAAATGCTCACGGGCATTCATAATGGTGTGTGTCCACTGGCGCGGAGCGAGTGTGTGTTCGCGCTCAACTTCCATAGGAATTAACTGAAATGCTTGCTTTGCTCCGCACCGTTATGAATGCTCATTCGGCCGTGCGCATTTTACTTTCGCTTTTGAATTAGCGATATAAAATAACAGGGTAACCAATACCAGTTTGCAATATCAAGCAGCATAACAAGCTCTTTTGTTCAACTAAATAACTGGAAGCGGATGACACCGGAAGCCAGACACATTCCACTTACAAATGGCCTTATAATTCACTCTTACGTGAAAAATCATTTTTTCCATGTTCTAATGGTTGTACAGTCCTAGACTGACCAGAATTAATTATTACAGGTGATATTTTGCATTATTCATCTGGAGTAAGTCAATCTGGTCACTTGGAATTTACCACAACCATTGGAACATGAAAAAACTCATAGGTGAATTACAGTAATTTTTTTTCAAAAAAATAACTGTTTACTGTACATACATTAAGGCAGGTTTTGGCAAAATTTCACCTGTAGTAAATCAATCTGACCAATACAATCAAGCTTTGGAATTTGAACATGTCTGTTTTTAAATGTTATTTATTAAGTCATTTTAATTAATACAAATTATACGTTTTAACCAAGGGGGTAATCCATCAGCCGGAAGTTGAAGCCTCGCGGGAGCTGCCATTGGCTAACAAGCCGTCTGCTGTTAGCATTCCATTGACTCCCATTCATTTTAGCGTCACTTTGACAGCGAATGACTTTACATCTGAGGAGTCCAAAGACTCCATTTATCCATTATTTATTTCTAAAGAAACACGACAATGTATAAAAGGCTCCATTACCTTGTATCTTACGTTATGGCCCCGTAGAAGCAGTTTTTGTAAAAATAGGCTAACGATTGCGTCATAACGAATCGACTCTCCATCGCACAGTAGAGAAATTACCGTATAGACAGGAGGAGAAGCTCGCAGGCAATCGGGGGACGTGGAGGCATAAAGTCAAGGGAGAAGCCCATAGAGAGAGTCATAGTTGTTCCTGCTGCTAGCTCATGGACAGCTAATACTCACGATCTCCGGCTCTGTGAGATTCGGAAGGGAATTATTCAGATTTCACTCGGCACAGCTACTAGAAGACGTACAGGTTGTTCACGTGACAAGTTCAGTTTGAGCCTGCGCAGTACGCCTGGCGATCAGCTTTTAACGAGCTTCAATTTTCTCCGTTGAAATCAATGGGGTCGCTGTGTCCATTTCTTTTACTGTCTATGGTTTTAACCACTTGAAGAAATTGCCAGACATTCCCTTGGGGATCATGTGCCGAGGTAGCGCGTCAAAGCATTCTCAAGTATAAATGTGCAGCTATAATGCACATAGGTGATTTTGAATGAATATTTCATGTTGATATACAATGGTTACATACAGTTAAAACTAATCATGTTCTTGATATGTTTGTAAGACCACCGACTCATTAGAACGGTGACAAGGAAAACTAACTTTACCGCGCTCCGAGATCCCCCTAGTGGTCGGGAGCATTTATGCTGTGTTGGGGCTTGATTTCATTGTGTTGTAAACTTATGTTTGCTTTTTTAATTTCGTTGTGTTGTGCACTACTGGGCCACCATACATCTACCCTTAATCTTTCATTAAAATGGGCAGTGCAACCTGTCACTCACAAACCACAACCATCCAATCAATTCCCCAAGGACAAAATCAAGTCCCGCCCTACATTTGTTCTTGTTCAAGAAGCCGTTTCACTCATAGGCATCCGAAATCACATACTCTTTTGAGTATGTACTTATTTTGAATAATTACTTCACGACTGCTGCTCATGTACGTTCAATATATATAGGTTGAATATAATACGGACGTACTACATCCACCATGATGTCATTATTATGTGACCTACCACTGTCAGTTGCGTCACTTCACTGCCATTCACAAACAGGACAGTAAAGAGACCATCGTATGCACACTTCAGAACCTCGCCGGAAATAGTTGGTCATCCTTTTCACCCACTCTTTTACTGTGAATTCAGACATTCAACCTCTTTTGTCACATACTGTTTTTCGCCTACTATGTAGTAGGAAAGTATGTGATTTTATATGCAGCCATAGTTACGGTATAGGGAAGAATAGGCTATTGCAGCTTCCATTTCATGCTGACTTTAAATAATGTTATAATGGTTTATTAAATATTTATAATGTTAAATGATGTTGTAATATTAAATTATAAATAATTTAATATTACAATTCTAAAAAATTCTGGTGAAAAATAATGGTGTCCTGCGTATCTAAAAAATAATGGTGTCCTGCGTATTTAATTGTTATTAATATTCCTATTTGTTTTTATCCTTGCTTTGTCATATATAAGCCATTTGTTGGATTAGAAATTAAACAAAATGTAATAAATACAAAATGATATATAACATTAAATCTATAAGTAAATCTGACAAAATTTGGCAGTTTTTTTAAACACACTTTATTTTGAATAAAACAAGTGATTAGATGTCAAATCAGTTTTGACTCTGAATTTGAAATACGATTAAAAATAGTGCCAAAAGTGAATTCATATATCAAAACCTGCATATGTTCTTTATGTACCGTGAGAGAGCAATCTGAAATCAAAGCATAGACAGTGCCAGAAAACATCAGGAACCTTTTCTCCACTCATCCGTCTCTCCACCCATCTGTCACTCCATCTCTCCGTCAGTTGGAAATGTCAGCAACATCAATCTTCAAGCAGAGACTACTGATATGTGTAACCCTGCGTGAAGTTCAGGACCCCGGGTAATAAACATCCTGACAGCTGAGACGGCCCCTCAGTCTTTTAGCATCGCCAAAATCACGGATGAGAAGAAAATCGGGGCCATGTACACACACGCACAGTGTCTCAGGAGCTCTCCAGCAGGGTAGAAACGGTGTAGATCTGTGTCTTCAGCCTCTTCTTCATCTCTCTGATCATTTGACAGAGGGCCAGAGGGTAGCAGCAATAAACCGTAGTCCAGTCCTCACACACGCTGCCCTGGAGACACACACAGCACACTGTAATGTATTCTTAATTTAATATTACCAGGCGAATTAGGGTCTGTAGATTTCTAAGTAAGGATACATTTCCCTGATATTGATTTAACACCCCCCTCCAAGTCGAGGAATCTAGTTATGAAATTTAATTTAAGGAATCTTCATCTAACTGTCAAATACTGGATGTGTTTTACTTCTTAGCACAAGAAGGATATGACAAGATAAATCAAAGATATATTTCTACACCTAGAGGAAATACTGTAAAACACTTTTTTTTTCAGGTCACCATAATCCATTGTTCAGTGGAAACTCTACAGTGATATCTGAGTTGAGTTATTGGTTCTCACATTCAAGCCCAACGTATACGTCGTTTTTTTAAGGAAACGTCGAACATAGAGCCTTTTAAAGTCTACTCCATTTGACAGAATGCGCGAACTGAGGCTGCATCCGAAGTCGCATACTTAGCTACTAGACGAAATCAGTAAGTGACACACTCTAAACAATGCTGGGTTGTTTTAACCCAAATTTGGGTCAAATATGGACAAACCCAAATGTTGGGTTAAAAATTTTATTTAAATTTTAACCCAACTTCAACTTTCACTTCCAACTGTAATTTTTTTAATTACATTTTTAACCCAACATTTGGGTTTGTCCATATTTGACCCAACATTTGGGTTGAAACAACCCAGCAACCCAGAGTGTATGTCCGAATTCACAGTACTCATAAAAAAAGTAGGCAAAAAGTACCCGGATGACCAACTACTATAAGAAATATTCTATTTACATTGTAAATATTCTATTTACATATTTAAATAGCAGTATTTTCTTTGCAATAAGTGTAAATAGTAGTTAGATGCTATTTATATTTATAAATTAGTGGCAGATACCATTTACACCTCAGTGTTGTTGTACATTAAACAGTATGCAATAATAAAATAGAGTGTAAATTATTATATTTCTTAAAAATATTAAATGGATGCCCCCTTAGTGGGACAGTAAAGCCCCCCCTGAACCTTCCCCAAACAATAACCGATAAACACTTTATTAGTAAACCCACGCTAGACACTTCCATTTTTATTGAAAGTAAATGCCTTTCCGATCAGATGTGACGGGCAAAGGGAGTAGAACGAGTTCGGCTCGGGTCGATTTGTGTCAAAAGTTTCTGCCACGGACCTTACCCCTACACTATGGCTGACAATTAAGCGTCTTTCCGTAATTGTTTCTGGCCCAGCCAGACGTCAGTGGGCGGAGTTACTGTAAATAGCCTCTGCCGTCACAACTACAAAATCCAATTACAATTAAAAAAAATAATAATTCCAAAGATGGTGTCTGTCATTTTAGGTAGCCTAGTTCTCATTATGTAGACCTACTGTATATTCAAGTGTTCGTTTTCCCAATAAGTTTTATTTAGTTAGTATTTTGAAGCTATAAAAACAGGGTGTAATGTCATGATTGACTAGCCTGGTCCCACCAGACTCTCGTACGTTTCATTTGTACACAGAGTCTGGCATCGCTCCATTGACAAGCGTTAACTTCCTTGTTGTAGGCGGGTCCTCTGTTGAAGTCTAAAACTATTGGATCTGCCCAGAGTCACTCTGGATCTGCCATAACCAATCGCTTAAGTTTGGTCGTGACGTATGACGACTCAAACTAGCGCACGACATCAATGTCATCGTTCTCAGCCACTCCCTCTGTTCGCTGATTGGCCCGGTAAAAAATTGACCGGAGAAAACCTAAGAATACAGCACAATCCCAGACGTGGTAGTACTGAAGGAAAATGAAAATTGAGCGTAAGTACGCAGGAGGGCGGAGCCAGGCTAATGATTGACAGCTGTGCTTGTGATTGAGTCTGCGAGAGCAGGAGTGAGGGTGGGAACTTGATGCCACTGCTCGTCCTCAGGATCACTACTGCACAGACTCGGTCTCCGAACAACTTAATCAGATTCAGCAACAACTGCTACTGGGATTTTCCGGCTTCATTGTTCTACAGTGGAAGGAAGCAGTCGACTCTAGAAAGTTTCATCTTTGTCATCTCCAGTGTCTGCGCTACTTTTCTACAGAAGTTATGACTAATAAAAATGTCTACTTTTAAACTAAAGTTGCGGGCTATCTCATAACCCCCAGATGCTTATTAATGCGCGTGTCTGTTGTTGTTGCAGTCTTCAGTTTTTTGTTGTTCCGTTTTCTACTGTGAAACAACAGCCCGAGCCAGTGCTGCCACCTAGTGGAACAACTGATTAGTGCAAAACAAATTAAATGCGCATAAGTGGTTAAAAAAAATCGGGAGGCACGCGTACAGTACATGCGTGCTATTCTGGTGACGAAATTTGAAAATCTGGTCAAATAAATTTGAAGCAGCAGTCGCAATGGACTTTGAGCATACAAAATTTCTTCGGACACTGCAACGGTCGTGATACGATATCACGCACTATGATGTATGTAAACATGAATTAAACATATTATAGCAAATAGTAATACACTCAAAATGTTAAACAAATCTACAGTCTACTCAACTTATATGCAAAAATATTGTTTTGTTTTTTATTCAGTCAAGAGGTCATGCCATGAAGTATCAATCTTCTACTGGTAACGCGTCTTCATGTGATGTGAATTCACAGCTCATAGTTCACCAAACTTGAACTTTGGGACAGTCACGGTTTGGGTTTTGTTCCTTGTTCCTGTTTCATGTATGTCATGTGATCCCTTGTTCAAGTCATGTGATCCTGCCATGTGTCTTGTCATTTGTTAAGCGTCTGATCATTGTTCACAGGTGTTCCTTGTCTTGTAATTAGTCTGTGTATTTAAGCCCTCATGTTTTCCTTGTCTAGAATTGAATGTTTTGTCCAGGTTTCCGGTCGTTGTTCTTGTTTTTGTTTCATGCTTTGCCATGCCTTTGTTTTATGTTTGATTATGTTTTGAAGTAAAGTTGCATTTTGGGTGTTTCAGTGTAGCTTGCTCATTTCCAGGTAACGTGTCAGAATTTATTTTTATCAATCAATTTGAAAAGGTTACTGCTAGACTTTAGTTTAATTCTTGTTACTAATCCTAAATCACTACATCATTTCAAACTTGTCACGGTAAGTTTAGAATTCAAATTATTAACTTGAATAGATGAGTAATTAAGGAAAAAAATAAAATAGATAAATCGGAAATTTTTGTTAGTATCATTCAGTTAAAAAAAAGTTTCAAAATGTGTTATGGTGTTGAAGGTCAGTGCAAAATTGTCAAATAATTGTTTTAACTATTAAACACTGTTGCTTGATACCACAGGGTTATTATCGTTACCCAAACTGAAAACCATAAACAAAGACATATAAAAAAAAAAAAAAAAACTTTAACCACAATTCAAGTGAAAGCAATATTGCATATATATATATATATATATATATATATATATATATATATATATATATAACAAACACTATAATAGCATATCAATGATGATAAAATAATACAGTTCTTCCAAGGCCATGTTTACAAACAATATTTTTCTGGAAAAAAAAACCTCTTTATAAATATTATATTTTTGCCCAATTTTTGGAAAAAGACAGTTTCGTATATGCATTAAGCATTTAAAAAACGATCTGATATTTTATTTTACTACATGGTTATTACAACATGATACTTTTACTACATGGTATTATTACAATAAAAGTAAACCGTTTGTAGAATTAGATATTGGATTTTGAATTGTATAGCAAAATAGTCCATTCAAATATTATAGTAATGGGAACACGCAAACTGATACAGTATTCTTGCATAACGTTTTTTTATATAATGTTTCATTTTTTGTCAGTATTGAATCAGCACTGTGAAATTTTCAGTCATCGAAAACTCAAACTCCATTCCCAGCATGTCGCGTTATTTACATTAGCTGAATCCTTACCCTGATTTTAAACCGCTCTCTAATGCCCACTCTCATGGCGAACGTGGAGCCAGGCAGAAGAGGCAAACACACACATTCTCCATACTGATGAGCCAGGCTCAGGTCCAAACAACATGGCACAAACGCACCCATCAGACCTGCACAGAAGAGAGCAGAGATGCTTTGAAACGTGTGCCGGGAGCTGTCGAGAAACTCGGAGCATCAGTGCTTAACTGCAATTACTTTAACACTACTTATATTGACTGCCTGCAACAACAAAAAAAGGATTCAATTCTGATAAAGAGAAATCAGTGTCCTTGGACAAAGTAGAATTTTGTTTTATGCCCAGCTTTTTTTTTAAATGAATGGAAAAATCATTAACAATTTATAATCATTAAGGAATGTCATTAACTTTTAATGATTGTGAAACGGTACACAAACCACTGGATTAGGAAAACAACAGTAATTACTCATACATGATAGACTACATAATTAAGGCTAGCTGTAATCCAAAAAGTTTGATCCATAATAAGATTTTTAAGTCAATTTTACGATTTGTGAAATGCATAATCTGTGGATATGTATTTCCAGCATGATAGCGCACATCGATAAATTCAATTATGTTTAAATGTGGCAAACCGCAATTTGCTTCAGTAATACAACACAAAATAAAGTGTTTTATAGAGACATTTTATAATAATAAATGTAATTATGAAGAAATATAATCAAATGAGTTCTGAGTATTGATTTTTTTTTTCAAACTCAGTCTGGGTCTCAAAAGATATAAAAATATGCAGCAATAGAATTTCATGTAGAGTTTGTCAATCAAGATCTCAGAGGGAATGCATTAACGTCACTTTCCCGCCGGAACACGCCCCCCTCAGCCGGACTGAGTGGCAAAAGAGCTACTGCGTGACTGGAGTTAATAGGGGAAACTGCGAATAAAACAAACTATTATCAGTTTAAACTAAAAGTTGGACTCGATATAGTGTTCCTCACAACTTATCAAAGATCCAGTGATCCATGGATATTGACATGCAGCCAGGAATCGTGTTTCCTGACATTTATATGTGCCTGATTTCGACGCCGGGGAAATAAATGAAGAAAATTTGCCTGTAAACGTTTTATATAAATACAATATAGATAGGTCTAAATCCGAGTGATCACTTACATTAATGTTATACTGTATATCATCATATCGTCCAGCCCTAAAACTTGTATAGTTTTTTGTCAGTGTTTATTTAAAAACATCCAATTATGCAGAATATAGTCTGTTCTGTAGCTTTTTGCAGTCTGTAAAAATATACAGCACCTCAGATTTCTGGTCAAATCTAGTTGTACAGTCAATCGCAAAGCTCTTTCCCGTTTTAGATGTGTTTTGTGTGTTTTTCACGGCATTCACGCTGAAGACAAATGCTGCCGCTCAGTCTTTTTGCCACTTGTGGGCGTGACCGCATTCACTCCGGCCGACGGTGACGTCATGCGCATACCCTCTATAGACCAATTTCCAGCCGACGTCACAGTTACGTCACGTCACTAGCTGGTGGCAGAACAAAGTGAAAACTGGAGGCGGCAAATACAAACCAGCACAGATTCGGGTACAAAATAAGGATCTTAAATTATTCTTCTTATTATTAAATGTCATCTTGTTGTGTTGTTGGGTGCAAGAATCAATGAAAAATGAATATGCTTTATCTGCAATTTTTTATTTCTAGAAAATATTCACCTCATTAAAATTGCACCGTAATGTCACTCTTTACATTGTCGTCTTCATCGCGCTGGCTCGGCAGAACTGCGGATCGTACCACACAAGTCTTGTACTTGACCATTCAGCACATAGTTATAGGCATCTAAAGATTTACATGCCCTCCGTTTCTCTATCAGGTAACGTTAGGTGTAGAAGTCAGGACACTCAACCGGAGGTAGCGTTAACGTTAATCCTGTCAGATCCTCAATGAGTGTAAGGGTCGGCCGGTTCCGTCCGTTAAAATTAACTTTTGCAAATAACAATCGCGGTCCTGGACAGTGAGTGGCCTTGCACATTAAGATAAAATCGGATTTTCTCCAGTCATTGTTAAAAACAAGCTAACAAAACTTGCAGACTTTACGTTAGTGAAGCGGCCAGAGGGATCGTTCTGCCACCACCTAAGCTCCGCCCACAGAAAAACGTCACCATGTTTACCAACTGAAAATTGGTCTATAGAGAAGCAGAGGCTTTATGGAGAGACTACCAATACATAAGCTGCTGTGTTGGACTTCCTGGGGCTATTAGTGTTTAAGAACAAATTGTGTCCCACTAGAGTTCCAGGCCAGTTTCATTATTCTGGAACAGAAAAATATGTTTTCTTTGTTGCCAAGTAGACAGTCATAAAGGGTTAGTTCATCCAAAAATGAAAATTCTGTCAGTAACTACTCACCCTAATGTTGTTCAAAACCTGTAAGACTTTCGTTCATCTTCGGAACACAAATGAAGATACTTTTGATGAAATCTGAATGATTTCTGTCCCTCCAAATTGTCCTAAATTCCTAAAAAGCCTCAATTCAATATGTACATCATATAAACTGATCGTGTATCTTCAGAAAATGTATAAATTCAGACTAATCTGCTCAATTCATATGGATTAGTTTTACTGTCTCTTTATGAACTTTCTGAAGCGCCAAAGTTGGTGTCAATGGAGGGACAGAAAGCTCTCAGATTTCATCAAAAAGATCTTCATTTGTCATCAATGAAAGTCTTACGGGTTTGGAACGACATGAGGGCGAGTAATTATTGACAGAATTTTCATTTCTGGGTGGACTAACCCTTGAATACAATAAAAAAAATGAAGAAGTAATTATGGAAGCCTGTTCCTGCCTGCTTTTTGCTGTAATTGCCACTTATTTCGCAACTTATTGTGAATTTGTTTCTTACAATTGCGATGTTATACCTCCCCTAATTTTAAATTTACATCTAAAAATGTTGCACAATACGACTTTATATCTTGCAAAGTGAGTTTAAATATTGCAGATGCGACTTTATGACTCAAAATGTGGCTTTACATCCAGCAATGTGACTTTTTTTGTGAAACTTTATACAGTGGGCTCCACAAATATTGGCAATGTGATCGTTTTTGTAATTGCAACTTTATATCTTGCTACTATGACTTTGTTTCTTGCAATAGCAAACGTATATATCACTCCCACACATTACTATAGTATGTCACAGTGCGACTGTTTCTCGTCACAATGTGACTTTGTATCTCTCACAATGTGACGATATTAATTGTAAACTTCATCTTCCTCTTACATGTGCTGGCGTCGCCACACACGTCAAACAGTCCTGAGCTCCAGTCTCCCCCTGTTTGAGTGATAGTGGTCACTGTCGTCGTGGTCTCCCCGAGGCCTGGTTGAGTCAGCACAGGAAGTTCCATCGTCTCACTTCCTGTTGGGTTTGCTTCAACATCTTTTCCACCTGGAGAGTCCATTTGAATCTGAAGGCGATACAAGAAATCTGCTTCAGATCAAAAACATTGACACACAATCCTATAAAGGAAGTCCTCACCTGACCTAAAAAGTTTTTACAGCATTGTGACATTAAATATATGAAATGCATATTAATGAGGGTGAACACTTACATGGTGAATGTGGCTCAGAACAATCCCTCACGATGACAGCAGACTAAGGGAAAAGACAGGGGTGAGTTTCCTATGGTGACAGTGGTGTGTTCGTTCTGATAGTCGCTTCGCCAAGAAGCCCTGACAGAAGCTGCTGTGAGCTGATAAGCCTTCACACACACACACACATGCACAGGAGACCCTCACGCACCTCGCAAGCGCATTCAAATACTAACTCTCAAGTCACAAACAGCAATGTAACACACAATAGCAGATACAGTTCAAAAATTCCTCTCAAAAACAATTATACAACACATAATCATGCATAATTGGGACTCCAGGCCTGCTTACAAACATCCCACTGGAGCCCACAATTCACACACATAAAAATATCAAACAAAACCTCTCGAATGACACCTCAAATATGCAACAAAAGCTTACCAGCGATCCAGCCTGTGTGAATAAGATGTTACATAAATTCACCCCAAGAGCAGCAATGCAGAATAGCACGTCCTCTTGAGGTTAATGTCTCGCATCACTTCCTTCTGCACCGCAGCTAACGCACATCCAACAGTGTCACATCCACTATAATGAAACATTGCATGTAGCTGTCATACGTAGAACGGCTCGCTTATATGTTTGCCAGCCAAGTCTGTTGAAGTGCATGTAATCGTTTCTCTGAACGCGCTTCTTTGCGGCTGATCTCGTCTCCACTTGCATCAGACTGTAAAATTGAGCCGTCTTTATATCTGCTACGGCCTGCTTGGCCGGAAAATAGAATAATATCACTCATAGCGTTGGCACATTCTCAGAAAACAGGGCTATTTGTGTCCGAAAACGTGTTTTTTGCAACTTTTCTTTATCATTGGACCTTAAAAGAAAATTCTGATTTTCTCACTTCAGTCCAAAAATACTAGAGGGCCAATAACCAAAGATGATGAGGGAATTTCAGATTACTGATCATCCAATATGGTTTTATCAAAGTAACCAATATTGTTACTAACCTTACAGATAACCATAAGATTTTTTTCATGTTTTTGAAGGAAGTCTACCAAGGCATGCGCGAACTTCATGCGTGTTGTCATGTGAACTTCCTTCAAAAACATGAAGAAATCGTATGATTTATACTTGATCAAAAAATGTGATCAAAAATACTGTAAAATCTAAATTATTGTGAAATATTATTACGATGTAAAATAACCTTTTTCTAATTGTATATATTTTAAAATGTAATTTATTCCTGTGACGACAAAGCTGAATTTTCAGCTTCATTACTCCAGTCTTCAGTGTCACATTTAATAATGTAGCTTTCAGTAGTGAGATATTTTATTTGTAGCAATTCATGGGGAAGAGGTTTAAGTTTCTATAACGTTTCCTGCAGCACTTTATTTTACAGTCCTGTTCCCCATGTATACTATGAACTAGTACTAACCCTGAACCTACACCTAAACCTAACCTTAAGCGGTTAGTTAACCCAAAAATGAAATTTCTGTCAGTAATTACTCACCCTCATGTCGTTCCAAACCCGTATGACTTTCATTCATCTTCGAAACACAAATTAAGATATTTTTGATGAAATCCGGGAATATGGGGGGTCAGAAAGCTCTCGGATTTCATCAAAAACAGAACAGGCCGTTGGCTGGTCGAGGGTTCAGCTGTGAGAGACACTCCAGATCACGTTTATATGACACTTTCTGCCTCATATAACAGTATTTTCAGTTGTCTATGAGTATTAGATATTTTGGATTTTTTTTTAAATCGTAATGTACATGATATTTATAATTATGTATTTTTCATCATATTTATTTCATGAAATATATTTATACTTTTATTCAATAAGAACACATTAAATTGACCCAACATCACCACAACAAACAACTGTTTTCAACATTGATAATAATAAGAAATGCAAACCAAATCATCATTTTAGAATGATTTCTGAAGGATCATGTGACACTGAAGACTGGAGTAATGATGCTGAAAATTCAGCTTTGTCATCAGAGGAATAAATTACATTTTAAATCAGATTATTTAAAATTGTAATATTTTACAAACACACACTATATGTATGTAAAATAAAATGAACGTATTTAACGCACCCGCCCCAGACCTACGTGGGTCATCTTACATTTCATGCAGTTGATTGATGATGAACATGATATATATAGTGTGTGTGAAATATTATTACAATTTAAAGCATATTTTAAATTCTATTTCCATGATTGTGGGAACAATGCATATCAAAAGCTGTATAAAAATGTGTCAGCACTGCATTCCAGAAAACAACTCAAAGCCAACCAACACGGCTGTACACTACACTACACTACACCACAGTGAGCTGAATGTACGAAGCATTACCCATGCACAGCGTGCTTCTAAAATTAGCCTGTCTCTAGCTGCATAAAGCACAGGCCAGATCAACCATTAAAAGAGAGAGAGAGAGAGAGAGAGAGAGAGAGAGAGAGAGAGAGAGAGAGAGAGAGAGAGAGAGAGAGAGAGAGAGAGAGAGAGAGAGAGAGAGAGAGAGAGAGAGAGAGAGAGAGACAATAGATGGAGGCTTCTGTGCTGCAGCTTTGACAGGGCCTCAGTGGCTCTCATCATCACCTCAGATCTGAAGACACAGAACGGTTTCCCAGGGCAACAGTCCTCCTTTACTTTGTCATCCGCTTCAGAGGCGAATACAACGTCTATCTGATCCAACTGATGGAGGAGATGTTGTGGCAAATTCTCGATCTTTGGTTCAAATCTTCAAAGTCTGGTTCAGGTCTCAGAAGAAATCTTTCAGAGTCGAAGTTTCAGGTCTCAGAAGAATAACTTTATTGAGCAGTTCAACAAAGTGAGATGGTAGCTAGTCATCTGATCTTTCATGGGCCAGTGCTCTAGTCTTATACCTTTTTCTTATCTTTAGTATTCAATTAGCGTTTGTATTAGTATCTTTTTACACCATGGGCATCTGTATTAGTATCTTTTCACATAATGGGCATCTGTATTAGTTTTTCTTTTCACACAATGGACCTCTTGCTTTTAGCAGTCGTTTACTCAATGGACATCTTGTTTCAGTATCTTTTTCTTGGTGGTACATCGTTACATTGTATACAATATGTTTCTCTTCCAGTGCCTCCCAACACCTGCATCTGTGCTACAAGTCTTTTGGGTACTTTTCCACTCTCTTGTCCATGTCCTTATGTGCCCTATCCTCACATGCCCTGTGACCTAGTTTTTCTGCTTGGCATTACAGCATTCAGACCTGGTTTTCTCTAACATTACAGCATTTTATATTCAGACCCATGTATGAGACATGTATGAGACAAATGAAATTCCCCAACACATCCCCCCTTTGGGACTTTCTCTAGTCCCACCTTCAAACCGTTCTTACCCAGGGTGTGTGCTCATGAACAGATCTCTCTCTGCATTACCTTTCAAACATGGCCAACCTGGACCATCCAACTTTATCAATAGACCTTCATCATAAGGGCACACTCTGGAGGAAGAGTAAGACCAAACATCTCCACCCCCAATTGGCTAGAGTGGAGTAAAAGATCTCACCTTCCTGTCACATCATCAGTTTAAGGGGATGTTACTTCAGGTTATCAAACATTCAATAACACAATCACAGTGTATGAACTTGAATTCCAGCAGCTGTCCCACGTTGCCAGAGGAACTGCGCAGGCGCTTCCGGTGGCCTGGAGTGCTATCTGGGTTGCTCCATCGTTGCCAGAGGTGCCCAGGCCTTGCCTAGAGCGCTATCTGGTGTTGGAGCAGACAGCGGGTTTTTAAACCACCAGTTGAGTCAGCTCTTGTTTCTTCAACAGACGATGACCGCGCTTGCAAATAATTCCTCTTTTGCACTTATAACTATATACATGTTCCAATGGTCTAATGCATGTAAGTTCTAAATTTCTTGACTTGTTACAGGAATATATAAGGTATTCAAAAATATAAAAGTTTAGTAAGTGAATAAAGTGATTAATAGTAATAAAAAACATTCTTATCTTTTTCTTATTATTTCTTGTTGCATTACCTCGTATCACGGGCAATGACCTGCTTTAAACCTTCTATCGTCCCCTCTCAAACACATATTCATAATTGTGACAGTTAGTGTGATTATATATAAAATTTCTTCCGTATGATTATATAAGTAAAACATGCAAAAAGATTATATTGGTTATATGAGTAAATATATTCAGAAAATAATATGAGTAAATATATTCAGGAAATAAGGGCCCTTATATAAAACCAAAGGAATGTAGAAAAAACCCTCTAACTAACTTCCTACTCTACCCATGCTCTAATTGTTTTAACTAATTTTATCCCCAAATCAAAATACACAGTGGGGCTATCTCCCTATCTTGTCAAAAACAGAGTAAAAAGATTATCAAAATCAAAAGTAATAAGGTACCCTTATTCCTTGCTTCTTCACCCAACCTCTCACAGGAAGTCATCCAGTTCGTCCAAGCCTGGGCCAATTGGATATACTCCTGAGTTGGTGCATCCAATGTCAATGCCTGATGGTTTCACTGACACATTGATCATTTGTTTTGCAGCTGCACTGGCCAGCATGGATCTGAGAAAAGGCACAATACAGCAGAACAACACAAAAACAACGCCAATAGTTACTGCTATTATTATTCCCACCTTAATGAGCCATTCCCTCCATGATCCAAATATAGAATCAAGCCAGTATCCAAAACTTCTGTCCCTCCCTGCATTTGTGGCAACTTCATGTCTCAACTCCTTTATCTTCTTCATGGCTCTAGTAAACGATCCATCTGGGGCTGTATTATTTGGGATGAAAGTACAACAGTCAGATCCGAACATTACACACACTCCTCCTTTCTCTGCTAAAAGCCAATTCAATGCTTGTCTGTTTTGCCAAGTCATTTTACTTGTGTACTTCAATTGCTGGCCTAAGGCTTCGAGTGCTTGGTCCGTATAATTAATGAATCTTTGTTGATTATAATATATGTAATTTATCCACTCAGTGTTCTTATTAACTGGTACCCATAAAAGCAGCGATTCCCAACCCGACAGCACCTCACTTCTGGCCTTGAATTCGTGTGGTCTCAGGGTTTTTAAGAGTTATCTGTTTTTTAATCACATAACGCCAATCCACTAAGGGCCATTCTTTCTGAAACTGATCCAAGTTTGTAATCTTTGTCAATTTTTAAAGAGCCCACTTTTCCCTTGGTCTGTTAACTCCTGTCTCTGCCCTTTGTTATCTATAAACTCACTTTCTAGCCAGAAGTGATTCTTAATGCCTTTGGTCAGCTTTAATGCCTGTTTAAAATGATCTTTGTCCTTTCTTTCTCTCTGTATTCTCTTCTCCTCTGCCTCAGAATGATCTCTCACTCTGGTCTACATGTGTTTTCTTTTTTTCTTTTTTTTTCTTTTTTTTTTCTTCTTCTTTTTTTTTAAGATGTCAAAGAATAAAAAGGCTCTCCTTCTCTAAAGCTCTCCTTCTCTGTCACTTCTCTCCCTCCTTATTTCTTTATCTCAACTCAGATACACTTAGTTTGTTAGTATATTCATTCACACACCCGGGATTTCATTCACACACATTACGCGTACATTCACTCTTTATTTGATATCTTATACTAAATGCGGAAAACAATGCTTTGTTACTCAGTTCTTGTCCAGCAAAAACTGTGTTTCTCTGTCTGGATCGCAGCACTTACAGTCTGGCGAGTGGCCAAACAGTCGACACAACCAATTTCTTTGAATATTTCTCGTTCTCTGATATTTATATCTTTGTATTCTTTGTTCACTAACTCGATTTTTATCATCCATTCAATTAAAAATAAATTGTCCGCACACTTAAATTAAGCCAATTTAAACACCAAGCTTTGGTCAAAAGACCATCCTCAGGGCATCATCATCCATTTAATTCTCAAAGCTTTGTTTCTCCATAATTTTTATATTATTATCTTAATGTTATTATCCTTATCTTTTCAAAACTTTGTCTCAGTTTTACTAACTTAAACTGTCACTTGCAGTTCAACTTTTTGACGGTAAGCTCAGAATTTTGACAAATGATTTGCTGATTGGCTATACGCCCAGATTGGCTGTACGCCCGGTTTGGCTGTACGCCCAGATTGGCTGTATGCCCGGTTTGGCTGTACGCCCAGACTGGCTGTATGCCCAGACTGGCTGTATGCCCAGTCTGGCCGTACGCCCAGACCGGCCGTACGCCCAGATTTGATCTGCAGTATATCTAAAAGTCCCCTTTTGTCTGTGTCTTCTCCTGAAGCATATTATTCTTGTACTTTTAATCAGTTTGTTCTATCTCAGTTATTTTATTCTGTTTCCTCAAAATCTATTAGTAATTTTTATTGAGTTGATGTACCTCGTGCATATATATATATATATTTAATTAACCTCTCCCTACACTGCCCTCCTTACCGCTCAGTTTTAGTAAAAATAACCAAACACTCAGTGCACTTTCTACATTTAAGACAAATAAAACATCCAGAACAAACAAACAAATAATAGACTAACAGCCCCCCAAGTGCACTACACACACATGCATTTTTCACGTTGCAACACTCACACCCACACACACACACACGCTTCTCACGTTACAACACTCACACACACTTTCACTGCTTTTCCTAATATACTAATAGACTTTACTTTTTGTCTAGTAGAGGTTGTGTCTCTTTGTCAGGGTCACAGAGCTTGCAATCTGGCAGGTGACCAAACAAACGACAAAACCAATATCTTGGGATATTCTTTGCTTTATAGTTTCTATATTTCTGGGATTTCTTTTCGCCAATTATATTTTTACCATCCATCAATTTCTTCAATTATTTTGTTAATTCATAGTTTGAAGCTTCTTATTCACTGTGCACAATTTTATTACTGTTGTTCTTTCTCCCTCAACTCAGTCTCTCTCTTAACAGTAGCTCAGGGGCTTTTTGGCAGTGTGCCCAGTTTGACTGCAAGGCCACTCCGTCTGCTTCTACAGTCAGAAGGCACCCCTTCTCTCTATCTGGGGAATTTTTACCTATTCTCTTAACTTTTTCTTTAAATTAATCACCTGTTTTGATCAATATTTTTATTAAACTGATATATTGTAATTCAATGTTCTCTCTTTTCTCTCTGCAGATCTTCCACTTTTTACGCTATCCCTCAGCCGGCACACTTTTACACTTAACAACACTAACAACAATTATAGCGTTTCTTTATCTTTGTCATTCATACAAGCAAATTCACAGCCCTTCTTGTGATCTGCCCCCTATAGCCCTTCTTATAGGGTTTTTAACATTCACTCAGGTAAAATACAGCCCTTCTTGTATTGTTACCCCCTGTAGCCCTTCTTACAGGTTATTTAACATTCACTCAGGTAAAACACAGCCCTTCTTGTGATTTTACCCCCTGTAGCCCTTCTTACAGGTTATTTAACATTCACTCATGCACTCATTCACACACATGCGCTTCTCCAGGACCTGAAAGCTCGACTCTTTCTCTTTTTAATTTAATTTATTCTTTTAGGTTCTTTTTGGTGGGGTCTTTTATTTAAGGCCGTTACCACACAGGCGCTTACCAGGAGCCTCACAAAGCAAAAATATAAGCAAAAAGCTGCTTACCTTATTTTTATTGGCGCCTTTTGTTTTGTGAGACTTCTGTCAGCATGCCCACCGTGGCTACTCCGACCCCTTCTCCACTCCTGGCTGGCTCCGCCAAATATGTTGTGGCAAATTCTCGATCTTTGGTTCAAATCTTCAAAGTCTGGTTCAGGTCTCAGAAGAAATCTTTCAGAGTCGAAGTTTCAGGTCTCAGAAGAATAACTTTATTGAGCAGTTCAACAAAGTGAGATGGTAGCTAGTCATCTGATCTTTCATGGGCCAGTGCTCTAGTCTTATACCTTTTTCTTATCTTTAGTATTCAATTAGCGTTTGTATTAGTATCTTTTTACACCATGGGCATCTGTATTAGTATCTTTTCACATAATGGGCATCTGTATTAGTTTTTCTTTTCACACAATGGACCTCTTGCTTTTAGCAGTCGTTTACTCAATGGACATCTTGTTTCAGTATCTTTTTCTTGGTGGTACATCGTTACATTGTATACAATATGTTTCTCTTCCAGTGCCTCCCAACACCTGCATCTGTGCTACAAGTCTTTTGGGTACTTTTCCACTCTCTTGTCCATGTCCTTATGTGCCCTATCCTCACATGCCCTGTGACCTAGTTTTTCTGCTTGGCATTACAGCATTCAGACCTGGTTTTCTCTAACATTACAGCATTTTATATTCAGACCCATGTATGAGACATGTATGAGACAAATGAAATTCCCCAACAGAGACAGAGAGGGAGAGAGGGTTAGAGAGAAACAACTAACAATGAGATCAGACCTAAAGTCAACTAATAATAGTGCTCACTGCATTCAACACTGCGGTTTGGTTGGTTATAAAAAAATAATAATAAAAAAACACCTTTGCTATGTATTTTTAGAGTAAAAGACAATATTCAAAGGGAAATTACGTAAGGTGGGGCTTGTTTTTATTCAGCAGGAACTTTCTGGACTGTGATGATTGGATAATATAATTTGCCCCGCCCACACGCCCTTGATTACATCAGCAGACATGAAAAGTTGTTTGAGAGGCAGAAAACATTTTGAATTATTATTTGTGCGCTGATGAGACGTATACAACAAGTCCAGGGACTTCATTAAGTCATACATTAAGTTAATATCGATTTTGTGTTGTCTTTAAGTGTTCGAGAGTGAGGGTCTTTCTTGATTTCAATCCTGTGTTTTTGTAGAAACTGTACATTTAGTTGGCTTTTTAAGTAGTTGTGCGCTGTTACCTCGAGAGAATTAGTCAAATAAACGATGTTCTCCAGTAGGACGGTGCGCTCGTCAAACTCCAGCTCTAGATCAAGAACTCTGGGCCCCATTTTCTATAGGCTGTCCTGGAAATACACAGGAAAACAGAAACAGGACACATTTTAATGCATTTTATGACACATTTGATTCTATAATATTCTGGAAATTTATTATACTAAGTAAATTAACAAGCATGTGTTCAGCAGGAAAAAAAGATTTAATAGTTTGCATAATTAAGACTCCTATATATATGTATATATATATATATATATATATATATATATATAAATAATATACACACACACAAACACAATATTATACTGTCGGGTATATATTTATATATATATAGTAATTATTGGGTTCGTTAACATTAAGAAAATTAAACAATAGAATTGATATATTCATTTATTGCTTATTTCACTTGTCTCACACACAAAAAAGCAAGGTTGAAACAAGATACCAGCATACCGTTTAATACACGTATTAAGTGTGTAAAGTGTATGGCTGAATTGAAAACGATACTCGGTTACTAACGTAACCTCGGTTCTCTCTAGAGAGGGAACGAGTATTGCGTAAGTTTAGCTTACGCTACGGGAAAGATTCATCGTCTCGAGATATTGAAGCCAAAAAATTATCCTTAATTTTGTATTCATTGTCAACGCAGTGCAGCAGCTAGCAGACCTAGAGCAGGCCATCTCGCGTGCTTATTGGCTGCCCTGCATGCATCTGCTGCAGCCTACCAGTGAGCCCCGCGTGACGTCACACCCAATGAAGGGCGCTCGCGCCTTCATAGCGTCATAGCCCGCCAGAATGGGCGTGGCTTAGCGTATATAAGAAGGGGCTCGTAGGCTGAATTCCCTGGTTTTTCGACAACTGAAGCGAAGTCGCTCGTGGCGCGAGCACGGCCGGTTACGCAATACTCGTTCCCTCTCTAGAGAGAACCGAGGTTACGTTAGTAACCGAGTATCGTTCTCTTACGAGAGGTTCTCTCGTATTGCGTAAGTTTAGCTTACGCTACGGGAACACTTTGTCAACGCCGTGCGCGCCAAGCATCCACCATGAGGCCCCGAACTTTCAGGGAACCCCTATGAGGTGGAGAATAAGGTGGCCAGCTACGCGGGCCATCACTTGTCGGTAAGCACACATAGGGAATACAGAGCAGCGCGCCGGTCTGTATAGGCACATGGCTCATACCCCACTTAGTGCAGCTCAACCAGGAGAGCTGGGTCATGTGAGAGTGATCTGAGCAGGAGGTCTGGGCAGAATACACCTCTCCTCTAAACCGACAACAGTTTAGCCTGCAAGGCAGGAACTTCCAGGTTATAAAACCTGACAAAGGTAGACGGGGAGCTCCAGCCCGCCGCCACACATATGTCATGGATAGAAATTCCACTGGACCATGCCCACGAAGAGGCCACGCCTCTCGTGGAATGAGCCCTGATGCCCAGAGGGCATTGCAGACCTTTTGACGCGTAAGCGGCTGCTATAGCGTCCACTATCCATCTGGACAGGCTCTGTTTCGAGGAGGCGAGACCTTTGGTGCGCCCACCGAACGAAACAAACAGCTGTTCCGAACGCCTGAATGAGGCGGAGCGCGTAATGTAAAACCTCAGCGCTCTGACAGGGCAGAGGAGGTTCACATCACTTTCGCTGTCAGATGCTGGGAGCGCTGACAACGAGATGACTTGCGCTCTGAACGGAGTGCCCATCACTTTCGGAACATAACCATGTCTAGGTCTGAGGATGACTTTAGAGTCATTCGGCCCGAACTCAAGACACGACGCGCTGACAGACAGCGCATGTAGGTCCCCCACACGCTTTACTGACGACAGTGCAGTCAGAAAGACGGTTTTTAGTGATAGATATTTCAACTCCACAGAATCCAGTGGTTCGAAGGGAAAAGCTTTCAGGGCCTCCAGGACCAGTGAAAGATCCCACATGGGAACCGACGGGGGGCGCGGCGGGTTCATCCTCCTAGCTCCTCTTAGGAAGCGGATGACCAACTCATGTCTTCCCAATGACTGGCCGTGCATCGATTCTGCGAACGCTGCTACGGCCGCCACATACACTTTGAGCGTGGATGGGGACCTCCCCTTATCCAACAGCTCTTGTAGGAAGGAGAGCAGCTGCGCCACCCCGCATGTCCGCGGGTCCAGACCTCTGTCGGTGCACCATTCCGAGAACACCGACCATTTAGACGCGTAGAGCCTTCTTGTAGAAGGGGCTCTAGACTGCGTGATCGTGTTCATTACTCCTTCTGGCAGGGCAACGAGTACCCGTTGATCAACCATGCGTGCAGAGACCAGCGCTCTGGATGGGGATGCCAGATCGTGCCGCGAGCCTGAGAGAGGAGATCTGCCCTCACCGGAATCGGCCACGGAGCTGTATGTGACAGCCGTGCCAGCTCCGGGAACCAAATCTGATTCTCCCAACGCGGGGCTATGAGGAGCGACGAGTGGCGCGTTTCCCTGATTCTCTTGATTACCTGTGGTAACAGAGAGACCGGGGGAAAAGCATATAGCCGGAGGCTGGGCCAAACCTGGGCCAGCGCGTCCTCGTCCTTCGAGAAGAACGTTGGGCATTGAGCGTTGTCTTTTGACGCAAATAGGTCGACTTCCGCCCTGCCGAACAGGCGCCACAGTTTCTGGACCGTTTGGGGGTGCAGGGACCATTCCCCTGGGGGAACGTTGTCCCTGGACAGTTTGTCTGGGCCGTCGTTCAAATGGCCCGGCACATGCGCCGCCCTCAGCGAGCGCAGGTGCAACTGGGACCAAATAAGGAGGCGCTCCGTCAGATTGCAGAGATTTCTGGATCTGACACCGCCCTGACGGTTTACATAGGATACCACAGACATGTTGTCCGAGCGGACGAGAACATGTTGGTCCTGTATGAACGGGAGGAAGCACTTCAGCGCATTCTCGACCGCTATCATTTCCAGACAGTTTATGTGAAAACACCTCTCTTGGTCTGACCACTGGCCGAAGACCGGTCTGCCCTCGAACAGCGCGCCCCAACCCCAGTTGGACGCGTCTGTCGAAATGACTTTCCGATAAGAGACGGTTCCCATCGTCACTCCCAGCTGGTACCAGTCGGCCACTAACCAGGGCTGCAGAGCCGCTATGCAGGTCTGAGTCACTCTGATTTTCTGACCGCCAGAAACCCAAGCTCGGCGGGACGCGCGAGCATTCAGCCAGCGTTGGAGCGGGCGCATGCGCAGTAGGCCCAGCTGAAGCACCGCTGCAGCTGACGCCATACAGCCCAACATCCTCTGAAAAGTTTTCAAAGGGAGAAAGCTGTCCCTTTGGAAAGACGCGGCTAGGTGGCGAACACGGAGCGCGCGCTGTGCCGATAGACGAGCCGACATAGTCACCGAGTCCAGTTCCATTCCTAAAAAGGAAATTGACTGGCTGGGTAGTAATGAGCTCTTGGTCCAGTTGACCGTGAGACCCAAGCTTTCCAGGTGACTGAGAAGCACTGTTCTGTGAGACAGCTGCTCCGTCTCTGACTGTGCCAAAATCAGCCAATCGTCCAGATAGTTCATTATCCGCAGCCCCTGACTTCTCAGGGGGGCGAGCGCCGCGTCCATGCACTTCGTAAATGTACGGGGTGCCAGAGACAGGCCGAACGGCAGGACGGTGTATTGATATACCTGACCGTCGAAGGCGAATCTCAAAAATCGCCTGTGACGGGGTATTATCTGAATCTGGAAATAGGCATCCTTCAGATCTAGAGAAATAAACCAGTCCCTCGGGCGAACGTGCGCGAGGATTTTCCTGGTCGTAAGCATTTTGAACGGTCTTTTCACAAGCACCCTGTTCAAATGTCTCAGATCTAGGATCGGTCTGAAGGTTCCGTCCTTCTTGGGTACGAGAAAATAACGGCTGTAAAAGCCTGACTCGCTCAGAGAAGGCGGCACCTTTTCTATAGCCCCTTTGCACAGCAGCTTTGCTATTTCTGCGTGAAGTAGGTGTGCTACTTCCGTATTCACTATCGTCGCGGTCCGGGCTCGAAAGCGCGGGGGACGGCGAATGAATTGAAGTGTATAGCCCTGCTTTATTGTGCTCAGCACCCATTCCGAAATCCCCGGGATAGATTCCCACGCAACTATGTGAGCCGCTAGGGGGCGAATGGCCTCCAGGTTCAGATCGCCGCCATTCGCGGGCTTGTGAAACTGAACCGGAGCTGAGAGCGCGGCGCGCGCGCTCTCTGTTCTGGGCAACGGCTGCTCGCTGAAAACCGAAACCGGCTGCTTTGTGTGAGATGTCCCAATCATAATGGATGGGGAACCTTTTTTCCTCACTTTTTGACACGCGAGCGGCGCTTTGGGCGGAAAAGCGTTCTGTAAGCGTGAGCGCGTTTGCGCGGGCACGAGACTTACACATGTATTTGACGCCCCGATCAAAATGGATGGGGAGCGTTTTATTATCGCCCTGCGTTTCATGATAACACTTAAACGCGCGGGCGGCGCCCGGGGGGAGGTTTGTGTTAGCAAGCGTGAACGCTCTCTGGCGGGCACGGGACTTACATTCATAACCTGCTGTCTTGACCGTGTAACAGAGCGGGCAGATAGTGGGCACAACACTGTGGACACATTTCTTACATTCAACACTCGAGCGGCTTTTCTGCGCTTTATGAGAGTGTGCTCTGTGGGTGACACGATATTTGATGTGCTTGTGTGTAGGGGTGAACACTGGGAGGTGGGCACTTTCACTACACTTAGAACACTGACGGCGTGAGCCGGACCAGACATAATACTCTTTTTGAGATTTCTCTGGGTCGCCGTGAAAACGGCGTTTGTGTGCAGGCGAGAGGGTGGACAAACCGGCTCGTTGGCTGCTAAATGAACCACTGCAGTAGCCTGACTGAAGGGGACTGACAGGGAAATAAGCTTCGACGGCGGTCCGGCCGCGGCGGGACACGCGCGTCTTTTCTCTCTCTTTGTTAGGAGGATTTCGCGTGCTCAGACTTCAGCGTGATCTTCTGCCGAGGCCCCCTGGGGGGCGGCGGTCTGTGACGGCTGTCTGAGCGCGACCTAGGGCGGCCGCCCTGACGTCGCTGCGAAGGCTGGGGTTGTGCTGGACGCTGGGTGTTAGCTCGTACAGGAGGCTGGCTTTGTTTCTCGCGAGAGCGGCCTGTAGCGGAGCTCGAGCGTCGCGGCAGGAAGAGATTCATGGCCTGCGTGGTCTTCTGCACTTCAGAGAAACGGTCAACGATCCCGTTAACCGCTGGGCCGAAGAGACCAGTGGGGGAGAGCGGCGCGTTCAGGAAGGTGGCTCGCTCAGTTTCCCTCATATCCGCGAGCGTCAACCAGAGATGCCTCTCTGTTACAGTCAACGCGGCCATGGCTCGTCCGATAGCCTGAGCTGCGGTTTTGGTGGCGCGGAGAGAGAGATCCGTCGCGCTTCTCAGATCTGTAACCGCAGCTGGATCCCGGCCCTTCTCGTCCCATTCACGGAGGAGGTCGGCTTGCAGGATCTGTAACACAGCCATGGAGTGGAGAGCAGACGCGGCCTGGCCGGAGGCGGCATATGCGCGGCCGACCAAGGCGGACGTGGCTCTGCAGGCTTTAGACGGGAGGGCTGACCGAGACCGCCATCTCGCGGAGGGCGGGCAAAGGTGCGCTGCGACCGTCTCTTCCACAGGGGGAATAGCCGTGTATCCCTTCTCGGCGGCGCCGTCCACTTGGGAGAGCGACGCGGAGGCCTGGGACTGAAGTCTCGAGGAGAATGGTGCATTCCAGGACTTCGTTAGCTCCGTATGAAGTTCCGGCAGGAAAGGAGCGGGCCTGCTCGTTGAAGCTGCACGGCGGCGGCTTTGAAGGAAACAGCCGTCGAGCCTGTTCGGCGCGGGTTCCTTCGGCAGCGACCACTCGAGCCCGAGGCGGTCGACGGCCTGCGTCAGCAGGCGCATAAGCTCCGCGTCAGCTCCAACGCGGGAACGGCTGGATTCCTGGATCGACGAGGAGCCGGAGTGAAGCGACCATTCCTCGCTGTCCGATGCCAGGATGGAGCAGCAGTCTCTCGTGGCATGTTCCTCGGCCTCCTCCTCAGACGCGACGGCAGTGAGGCTCGTGAGCGGCAGCTGCGCGTCGGGGAGGGGAGGCGGGGAGGGCGAAAGCGAGGCTCGAGGGAGATCCTCCGGCGAGCGCGTCGCTGTGGCCACGGGCTCCGGCTGCCTCAGGGAACGGCGCTTCTTCCTGCGCGGTCCCCCGGAGGGCGGAGCGGCTGCATCCGGGTTAAAGACTTCGAGTCGAGCCCGTAGGGTCGACAGCGGAAGCGCTTCGCAGAACTCGCAGCCCCCGGACGCGAGGGCGAGCTCTGCATGTTCCAGGCCCAGGCAGAGAGCGCAGATCACGTGGCGGTCTCCAACGCTGAGCGGGACTCTGCACGAGCCGCAGGAAGTGCGAGGCATCTTTAAAAAGACGCTCGCGCTCTTTTAGAAATAGCTCTTTTAGAATGCAATGTAAAAAGGATACGTCGCCGGATAGCGTAGCTCGCACGGATGGCTGAAGGTGGCGAAGACGGCCGGCTTCCTCAGCGCTGTCCTAAGCTGGCTGTTCGCTGTTCGACGGCGGCGGTGGCTTCTCTCAGATCCAGCGATGCGGAGAGCTCGCTGAAGAGTCGAAAAATCAGGGAATTCAGCCTACGAGCCCCTTCTTATATACGCTAAGCCACGCCCATTCTGGCGGGCTATGACGCTATGAAGGCGCGAGCGCCCTTCATTGGGTGTGACGTCACGCGGGGCTCACTGGTAGGCTGCAGCAGATGCATGCAGGGCAGCCAATAAGCACGCGAGATGGCCTGCTCTAGGTCTGCTAGCTGCTGCACTGCGTTGACAATGAATACAAAATTAAGGATAATTTTTTGGCTTCAATATCTCGAGAAGATGAATCTTTCCCGTAGCGTAAGCTAAACTTACGCAATACGAGAGAACCTCTCGTAAGAGAACAACACACTACTCTTACAAGTTCTGCAGGAAAAAAAAGTTAAATGATATTGCATCAAATACTAATTCATTCTAATTGAATACATTATTATTGGAATACTGTATCCCACAATGCAATCTAAAAGCCTGTTTTTTCAAGATCGTATTCAAGTACCAAACTTCTCTTCTACCTTTATCATGGCTACAAAGGGCATCACTCTCTTCATGTACTTCTTCAGCTCCGGCATGGCACCCACCTCCGTGGCGATGACCTTGTTGTCAGGTAGAGCTCCACTGTTGCTCTGGAAATGACAATGGGAAAGAATAGCCATTAGATTCACGGCTCAGGTCAAGATTTAACCCTCTAAATTCAACACTGGCATTAAAATAGTACTGGAGAAATGATCAAATAGCTGCATATCCCAATACAGCACAGCACCTAATATTCACCATTATTACACGGCTCTGTGGAATACTTGATTCTCATTGGTCAATCGCGCCATCCAGCGGTATGCTATATTCCCCAATAACAACCGCTGAAAACAGATAACACTGGCTCATCCGGGTTACTGAAGTTTGGCGGGCAAATAAAATATTAAAACTCAGTCAAATCAATATTTTGTGTAGAGTTATTTAATTATGTCATGTAGTCTCGTGGACTCGCTCTCTCGTTTCACACAAACGCAGCTGCTGCCATTTTGCGACTATTGTTTTGTACACTGTTGGATTATAAGATATAGCAAAAGGTATGAGAAGAGCATTTTGATAAATATATGCATTATATTTAGGTTGACCAGATTTCTCAGAGTGAAACACTTTGTATTGGCTGTATTTTTTTATTATTATAAATATTGAATAAGAATCCTGAACACTAAACATGTTCTACAAACATTATGTAAATGGTTTGATTAATAACAACAACATCAATTATATATATAGCAACACTTTAGTTTAGGGTCCAATTCTCACTATTAACTAGTTGCTTATTAGCTTGCATACTATTACTAGGATATTGGCTGTTTATTAATACTTATAAAGCACATAATAATGCCTTATTCTGAATGACCATATTCTACATCCCTTAATCTTACCCAAAATCTAAATGTATCAACCTTACTAACTTGTAATAAGCAGTAAATATGAGTTTATGAGGGCAAAAGTCATAAATAATAGTTAGTTAAGTGAGAATTGGACCCTAATCTAAAGTGTGATCCGGAACACACATAAAGAATATTGACTGGAATGGAGTAAATCTAGGGAAGGGTTTTTTTTGGGGAGGGGTTGCAGTTACCCCCAGTCTAGTTTCCTTTAAAGGATAAAAAACATCAGCACAACAACTCCTTATCCAAAGCGACATCCATTACCATATGGTCTCAACAACAGGACTGAGAAAAGCCTCTTTCCTCAGAGCCTTGACTCATAACGCTTACGTAAGGACCGGCATAGGTAGAAACAGACTGTAGGGAAACCGTCCCATGATAAAAGCGAGGGATAATGCATTACTCTTCTGTCAGGGGAGGTCTGGGACGGCGCTGAACTCACTCTACATGACAGCTGTCGACGACTCATTCTTGAGGTCAATTCTGTTTCGGTGGAGGATCTCTGTCTAACGGCTTAATGTTACAAGGATTTAATAAGGATGCTACTAATTCTAACCCAACAGGAAGCTACCATAAAAAAACCTAACTGAAAATCTTCATAACAAAGAAATTACTGAAGATTTTATGTCGTGTAGCAGGGTTGAGGTTTTGAATATACCACTAGTTGCTATGCAACTACGCATTCAGTCCATGAAACCAACAGCCACTCTCACCCTTCAAGAGTGCAAAGTTTGGCGAGTTTTCACCATAACGATAAAAAGTTAGAGCTGTTCAAATTGTCTATCATTATCATAATTACTATAAATATAGCTGCAAGCAGCAATTACAAAAGCAAGCACGGCAATGGTAGTTATCAAAAGGACCCTAAACGCTGCTGTAACACAAAGCGACAGTGGGTCAATGTTGGGTTGTTGTTGAGTGACTGTTGGCCCAGACCGTTGCCACTAGTTGGACACAGTCGACAGCTTTTTTCGGCTCACTGATCATGTTGATTTGGGGTCAGAGCTGTTAGAAGGTCAACTCTGAGTTTTGGCCAGCAAAAATACTTCATTCCTGCAGCACTCTATTTTAATCTTATTTACAGTAAGTGGTCCTAACGGTAAAATGTCAAGGCAAAAGCTGAATAGATGGGGAATATGGGAATAATTTACATATAAAATAAAACCAGACTCCAAATTCCAAATTCCAAATGATCAGTCAAAAATCATTTAATTTCCATTTTGCACCTTTTTTTTTAAACTCTCAAACCATTTCTGGAAGAGCAAATACCTGATTCCCAGTGGGGAGGGTCCTTGTCCGTTGAGAACCCCTCCCTGGAAGAGATGTGCCACGGTGTAGTAGGCCATATAGATGGTGGAGTCCGACAGGGACTCAATGAGCCATTGTTCATCCCATGGCAACCGGGTTCCTATGGGAACCAAACACATAAAAGAAGTAGAAAATCAAAGGTTCTCTCTAAGGAACAGCAAGAAAATTGCTGATGGTATCGCTGAGTGGTTTGGGGGCAAGGGAGGAGCGAGAAATAAGAGTATTACAAAAGAAATATAGATGGGCCTTGTCCTTACAAAAAGACTTTGATTAAGATAAGCTTCACACAAAGGTGGCCATCTTAGGGGATTTCAAAAGGATGTGTGCAAAGAAAACTTTGTGCATTTTGCCTAACTATTACAAGCAATTTATTCCAAAAGAAAAACCGAACACGATACGGAAAAGCTTGCAACAAAGCCACAATGGCGCAGACGTTAGCAGGTCTTACCTAACCCATACGTTCTGGAACAGGCATGTTTAACGTCAATATTCACACATTAATGAAGCTTCTCCAGCAACAATGGCACCCCAAAGCAACATGACAACTTTCCACTGCAATCTCCTCAATGCCACAAAGTGCAAGACTCACGTCTCCAGAGCCTCCAGGACACCCATGGCTTGCTTTTTCCATTCCTCATTGCCATAATCCAGATACCTGCCAGATAAAGACCCCAGTCACTGTCTGACAAGTCAAATCGATCATGACAATGCACCGCGACAAAAAAAAGGAGTAAAATCACATTCTCTTATTGAACAGGAAGTGAATACAAGATATTTTCTTAATTCAACGGTCAATGATTAACCCTATAAAGCCTACTGCATCATATTTGATATGCAAAGTTCTAAGGCCTCTAAATTACAGTATCAACATGATCCAAACTGAAAGAAAAAAACAATGTACAACATTCCTTCTGTCGTCTGATTGATTGCTTATACTTTTTTAGCAAGTAGATGGTCTTTTAGTATCAGTCTAAATTCCTCCACCTTCAGGTCATGGTTCACGTGTCTTTTGCTGTGAGACTTTACTGATTTTTATAAAGTAATCGAAAATTACGATTATTTTTGTCTACATTGTTGGAAATAAAATTAAGATAAACACTTACTGAACTGGAGTAACTTAGGTTTATTTGATAATCTGTACGTAATTAGTTTTTTATAAAAATCATGTTAAAGGCACAATATGTTATTTTCGCCACTAGAAGTCGCCTATTCAAAACAAAGGCGTTTTCGTATTACAGCCGATAGTAAGGTATATTATTTTTCCACTCAATTATGTCGTAATAACGAGATGTTATGTCAAACGACATAATATGTCGTTAAAACGACATCTTTTTTCATAATAACGAGATCTTATGTCATTAAAATGTAATTTTTTTGGCCTTATAAGGACATGTAGTCATGTACAAAATATGTCTTTATCCACATAAAATGTATAACCTATAGCCTATCATGCCTTTATTATACTTCTATGTTCAAAAACCTGAAGCAAACAGCAGCAGCCCCCAATCAAAGGCGAACCTACACTGACTGGGGGCCCAGCCATAAATAATCAGTGAGGCCTTTTTTAAAATATATTTTATATAGGCCTATAAGTTTTTTTTCCATATAATATATTAATATAAAATATTTATTTTTGTTAATAGGCGACTATTAAATGTAGGCTATTGATTAGAGCTGCCATAGACTAAAGATTGTTCTAGACTAGTCATTCATTTAAGCAATTAGGACTAATCGCACGTTTCAATCCTGAGTGCATATATAGGCCTAGAAAATGTGACGTTTTAACCAAATAACATCTCGTTGTTACGACATAATTGAGTGGAAAAATAGTATGTGGCAGCAATGCATCACCGTACGATAGAAAGCAATCAGACGAGACTCAGGCAGAAATGTGTTCATGGATGAACTAAGGTATAAAAGTTTCATTACGGTTACTGTGGTATGAAGCAGGATGGGGCCGGGAGCCCGGGACATTTTACATTTACAATTAAAGGTAGGCTATAGTTGTGTTTAATGTCCGCCTCCTCCATCTCCATTCAGCCCAGAACACAGCATTATTTTAGATGTTTGTGAAATTCAGTCACAAAATATCTTTAGGTACTGTCCTAATGACAGTGTGACCACAAGTGAACCAGGACTAAAAGTGTATTGTTTTCTCTTTTTCAAGTACCAAGAGAAACAAAGGGGTTCAATAAACTGTTACATTTTTTTTTTTAAACTAGATTTTTCAGACTATTATTTCATATGTCAGGCTTAACGATGCTATAGTCCCATAACCTTCTCCACCATCATCTTCTGATTGGGCTTCTTCACATCCTGGACCTTCTGTCCCTTGAGACCCTCCACTAACGTGATCTAGCAAAACAAAGTTCACTAAAGTTGTTCAGATGAGCACATGAAGATATACAGTTGTGGTTAGAATTAATTGCACACCTGGTAAATATGATCAAAAATGGCTGTAAAAAATAAATCTGCATTGTTTATCCTTTTGATCTTTCATTCCAAAAATTCGCAAAAATCTAAACTTTCATTGAAGTAAAAGAATTGAAAGTAGGGGGTAAATAACATTATGAAATAAATGCTTTTCTCCAAAACATGCTGGCCATAATTATTAGAATTAATTACTTTTGTGGGAGACTGAGTTTTGTAACTTTGCAGATCTTATACATGCATAAACAGACACATTACATAAAGGAAAAGGAAAACATTAAAAAGCATCATATTAAAATAGTACAACAAATACTACCGTACTTAACATAATACTCTTACATTTTGAATTTCATATTCTATTTCATTTTTACTGGGCAAGTAATAGCTTCCCTGTCTTGTTAATTTATACTGTTATAAAGTCAAATGGACCAACTTTATTTACTATGAAACACAAGCAGTGTGTGCTTTAGGGACATTTGTGAGTGTAATCAGCATCAGATACGGGATCATGGGAAAAGAAGTACGTAAAATGGATTAGTACTCA